AGGAGGTAAGGATAGGAAAAATTAAATAGTCAGTGTTCCTGATCTTTATTCATATTAGAAACTTCTGCTGAGGAGGGTTTTGGTTCAGGACAGGATCAAGATCAGTTAAGAGCTCTCCTACATCCAAATCCTCTTAATGCATTATGTCTGGGTCCACTTTAGTAATGTATCAGAAGACAGTCAATATCAATGGAAGAATCAGCAAACAAAAGGAGGAAAGAAAATAGGAGCAGGAGCAGAAGGAGAATGCTTATGAAAAAGCAAAGTACAACAGCGGCTATATTGTTAATTGTATTCTAGTTTAATAAAGTCCACAGAAGATGTAAAAGTTGCCTTTGGAAAGGATATGAAAAGCAAGTATAATGCAAACGAGGAAACTAACTATTGATGTGAAAAATATTTTCTGGAATTTTAAAAGATTCCAGATTTATTTCAATTTCAGTGTGAGGTACAGAAGCCAGTTGTGAATTAGGATCAAACTACAATGAAACTATACAGGACACCTTGTCTGGTACTGACAGCAGTGTTACCTCTATCTCGCAGAGGTTCCCATTCTTCAGCTTGATGATTGCTCTCATCTCCATCACCTGGGACATGCTCCACACCCAGGTCTCATTGAAGCAGACTTGTGAGCTTTGTTAATATAATTCTCTTGACATATTTCAGCCACTGTACTGGTATCTTGTCGATTCCAGGCACCTTGTTCTTCAAGGTCTTGATGACCCTCTGGACTTTTGATCTTGGTTTTTGCTACCCTTCAACCAATTTTCATATTGAGTCTTGAATTCATTGTTGTTTGTTGGCTCTTCTCCTTGGCCTGTTGGTGACTTAATCCTCTTTTGGAAATGTTGCACTATCCTTTGGTGTCACCTAATCTCATTAGTACTTTGAATCTATTGGAGGGACCAGCTGGAAGCTTTCAGAAATGTCCTCGGCTTTCAGTTTCTCAGTTGTGAATGGCTGTTGTAATGTCGTGGATGTCGTCTTCAGCTTCAGGTGGATCTTCCTAACACAGCATAGCAGTCTAATCCCAACCTCCATAAACCTGGATATCGTGTAGGGATAAGATATATCTAAAAATATTGCATATAGTCAGTTTTGCCATTTCTGTACATCCATGCATTTAAAGAACTTTTTCCTAATGGTGAACACATCGATGTTGAAAAAGGCCAGCAGATGTTCACTATTTCCATTTGCATGCTTGCTAATCATGGGCTGATTTTACTCTTCAAGCCTCACCAGATGTTATTGAGCGTAGTACTGAGGTCAGCGATCAACAGCTAGATATTGGCTATGTGCCTCATCCATCATGTCTTGCAATCAGTGGTAAAATTCATCTTCCTCCTTTATTTGTCCCTTTCGGTGCTTAAACTTACATGACAGTTACTTTGGCAGGCTTGTGTAGAAGGTGGCAGTGACGATGTGATGATTTACAGGGTTCCACCCAATTCATGCTTAGGATGAAGATCTGTTGAGCATGAGGCCAATTCCAAGGGCATGGTATTCTTGTCTGGAGTACAGAATGTTGTGTTCTCATGACTGAGGTTTCTACAAGATGCAGTGGACAGACCAAGAACCAAAGATGCCAAGTTGATAGGTCCTCACCTCGCACAGATCTGGATCATCTTCCCAGGCCGTAAGTGTATTTGGACATTGAGTGTTGATTCTGATGATGGCTCTGTCATTGAAGATTGGGCTTGTACAGAGTTTCCCAACTGATTGGAAACAAAAGTAGATGGGTATTCCTTATGAAGACAAGGCAGATTTTCGGGGTGGTTGATCATGCTGCGAGTATATGGAGTGGGCAGGCTTTCGTATTCCTTGGGCAACATCACCAGTTGACAGACTTGTGATGGGGAAATTACGTAGTCTTGATGGCCTAAGAGTTGCATGCACTCCAAGATATGACTACTAGTCTTGAGAGTAATGGCACCACAACTGATCCATGCATCAGCTGGTTGAAGACCATGTTAACTGGACATAAACATGAATCCCATGCCCCCACCCCCTCCCATCATCAGGCAACAGAATATCAAGGATGTCATTCACTTTCCCCAACCAGGAAGCGACATTTCCAAGGAGCATGTTGCTGCAATCAATGTCCATATAAGAATTGGCAAAGCAGCGTCAGTCCACAGCAAGTCGATACAGTCAGGTATCCAGTGCCATCAACATTGACATGAGTCTGTGACTCTACATGTCCATTGTAGTACTATTGCAGTTAATGCTGGTGAGATGTGGAAGGAAACGCTAAAGATGTTATGCACATTAAATATCCTGTACCGTTGTGGCCTTTGAATGTCCTGGGCAGCACTTAGAGGAATGTTATCAATAATAAAATCATACACAGGAGTGGTCAGGGTTGTCTAAGGACATTATGGTAGATACTATGAAGACTGGCATGACAAGGATTTCGCTTCCCAGACATTTGTCTCACTAGAGTCGACATCACCAGATGGGAAAGAGGACAGGGCCAGCCAAAAATTACCTTACAAAATACACTTAAGAGGATCTTTGAGTGCAGAGCACCACCTGGGCTGAAGCAAAAAACATTGCGATCGACCAGAGCCAGTGGCAGAGCTTTGCTGCCCATCTTGCATGCATCAGAAGACCTATATCCAAGCCTAAGAAAATGAAATGCCCAAACCACAAAAAATGTAAAACAATAATTTGGTTGTGTGCTAAAATCTGTGATAAATCACCATCTTCCACTTCTGTCTGAAACAGGTGCAAAGTTGGTGGGATGGCTAAACTGCCAATGTTGGTAAGACTTGAACACTTTTGGCTCATTTAAATGCCACTGGTTATAGAAGAGTAAGAAATCATCCAACTTCCATCCTTAACCATTGGCAGTAGACATGAATCTACATGGGCCTAGTATGAATATCTTTGCTGCTCATGCCTACACCCAAAAGAAGGCTTAAACATCTCCTGGCCAGTCTTTTGAACCATTTCATAATTTACTTTTCTAATCAACCTGTTCAGAGATGTTATTATATACCTCTGGAGCAAGTGGGATTTGAATCTGGGTCCGTTTCTATTTTAAGAACCTCTGCCTTGGCTACTCAATGTGTCGTGCAAATGAAGAGGGTATATGCAGAAAGCATGCCTCTACTTCTTTATTATGGAGGTACTGCATATGGAGGGAGCTGTGTCTACATTTGCTGCATGAATGGCGTGATGCCTTCTGTTGTTCTTCCTCATCTTCAAATAAAAAGGTTATATGGAAATTCACAACAGAAAACTGATCGTGGTCATTTTAGCTAACAAATCCAGTTGCTCATTTTACATCTCTGCTGAATTATATGTGCTGACCTTAATATAATTAAAAATCAAGACAACAGATTGTTGGTTTAATAATATTTTAGTGTTGTATGAAGTCAAAATTAATGCCAATGGGCTTTGTAAGAGGATAAACTGGAAAAGATGACAAAATTCATGCATATAGGTAAACCTATCTCTGAAAGCAATCCAAATATGATTTCCTAGTTCCAATACAAATCTAGATGAAAGGTCCCCTGCTACCTCCAGAGCATTACGCACCCTGAAGCATGAGGAGGATCAGCATAAATTATTGTAAATGGTGTGCAGAATGTAATTTCTGTCTCGTCAAAAATAGCAAGGGACCTCTGCTGATTTAGAGAGGACCTCACCTGCTTTCAAGTTTTTTTAACTGAGTACTTATTTGAGAAGCTAATACCAAAATATCCTCAGTGCAAATTATAAAATAGAATGAGTGCCAAAGGAAAATATTCAGTTCACATGATTCTGGGGACACACAGGTTAACACAGGACACTCGGCAAAACATTGCACACATGAACCACCCTCTGTGTGAAAATGAACTGCCAGAAGAAGTGGTAGATGCAGGTACAGTTACAACATTTAAAAGACATTTGGACAGGTACATGAATAACAAAGGTTTAGAGAGAGATATAGGCCAAACACAGCAAGTGGGATTAGTTTAGTTTGGCAAACTTGGTCGGCATGGGCGAGTTGGACCAAAGGGTCTGTTTCCGTGTTGTATGACTCTAAAATTCTTTCTCCTCAAATATTTCCTTTCTGAAGAAAAGCAATGCAATTGAAGTAACCAATTCAGTCTAGCTTTTTAGAGTGCTTTGAGAAACTGTAGCTGAAAACTGATGTCTATACGCCTCTACCCTCTGGGCACTGAATCAGTCACTTGATGGTACACTTCCTTCTGAACCACTCGCCCTTTAGTTAGGGAGGTAGTGGAAGCAAATAAAGAAGATTAAAACTTAAAAGAAATATAATATATTGGAATATTCATTGACTTATGGGGGTATTAAAGGACTGATAACGTTGGTACTGCAATGAGGAATAGTATGGTCTTATTTTCTAGACTAAACAAAAGGATGATTGCTGTATCTCGGGTAGTTTTCCCTAAAGCTGTATACTGGATAGAAACAACAGAATATTTTTATATTTTATTTGCTGCTGAGTTGTCCAGTTTCAGAATATAATGTGTGCCAATCTGACACATTATACAATATTTCTCAATAGACTCATGCACAATCAAAGAAACTAACAGTTGGCATGAATTGTTTATGGATCAGAATCAGATGATTGTTTTGACACAATAGTTAATGCAAAGACTTGTACAAGCCCCAATGAGAGAACTTTGTTTTCTACCATGCTAACTAACTGTTTTACTATTTTAAAAATACTTTCTTAAATCCTGTGCTCAGTTAATATTATTCACACAGGTCTTAAAACTAATTGTGCAGAAAATTGAAAATGTCCATATTTGCAACAGAAGGTTATCCCATGAGGCTAGACAAGATACAGATGATCAAACAATGTAAGCATATACAGTTGAATGCTGTTGCTGGGGATGATGGGGACAATGTATCTATGTCCCAGCACAGTCATCCTTGAGGTTGAAAAGCATGCGTCTGCAGAATATACAATTAGAGAGGAGAGGGTCCAGAAACAAGAGTTCTGCAGGCTCAGTTGACTTTCAATGGTTTCTGTTGTACAGGTTCAAGACAAAGATTCTTTCACTGGTCAAAAGGGGAACAGATGCAAGCTAGTCTCCGACTGTTGCTGGAATGGATACGAAATGCAGGAATGGGTAACATCGCAGATGAATTTTTTTTCAAATTCACTAGTGCTGTAAGGCTGCTGGCAGTCCCAACGTCTTGTCTCATACAGGTAATGGCTCTTTTTTTCAGAATATTAAGTTTTAAAGCTAAAGCCCCCACTACTTCATAACAAATCGGGTGGCCCACAACAATTTAGCCTACAATTATTTTGTGCAGGAGATTTCAATATACAGCAGTGAAGTAGTTATAACTAAAGGTTGAAAGTTAGGAGAATGAGTGCAACACAACTTGTAACTATAAAACATTATCTCAGTCGTTACTTAAGATCAAGTAGGCCATTTGACTCATCAGATCTGCTGTACCATTCCATCATCAACTCCACTTAGATCAGTTGGCTGGTCAGCTGGTTTGCAATGCAATGACACCAGCAATATGGGTTCAGTTCATGTACCAGCTGAGGTTATCATGAAAGACACTCTTTCTCAACCTCTTTCCCTCTCCTGAGACATGGTGACCCTCAGATTAAACCACCAGCTGTCTCTTGCCAATGAGATAGCAGCCTAATGGTCTGGTAGGACTATGGTGACTTTACCTTCCCTTTATAGTTTTAGCAATACTTCCTCATTTTTATGCTCCATTCCCTTTGAAGTAAAGGCCAACATTCAATTTGCCCTCCCTATTACCAGCTGAACTTGGATGCTATCTTTTTATGATTCATGCACAAGGACTCCCAAATCCCTCTGCTGCAGCTTACTGAATTTAAATACCAAGTGCGTAACCTCATATTTTTCCATATTTTCTGCCATGTTTTTTGCCCATTCACCTGTCTATATCCCCCTGTAGGCTTTGTGACATCCTCACCACTCGCCCTCCCTCCTATTTTATGTCATCTGCAAACTTGGCAATTGTACATTTAATTCTGTCATACAAGTTATTTAATATTGCAAAATAACAAGCCCTAGTACTGATCTCTGTGGCAATCCACTGCTTACAGTTTACCATCCCTGAAAATGCCACCCCACCTTATTCTGGGATTCTTACATTAGAAACTTGCTTAAGGCTGGTAACTATAGAATTTAAACTGTAGCTTTCAATTTAATGCCGACTGCAAACTTCAGACTAAATTAGGTTTGTACAAAATGAGACAAAAAGTTAGACTGATGTGCCCTAAAATGCATGCACTCAGTCCTGGTTGGCAAATAGTATTAGCTCAAACTCATCTTGTATAAAAGGTGGGATAATGTCAACGTAGTGTTTCCCTTCCTCTATATTTATTCAAATGTCATAGATTTCAACAGCGTTGCATTTACAACATATATAAATACAATATTTACATGATTATACTGACCTTTTATAAACAAGGAGAATGATTATATCCATATGGGTAGTGATCTTAACATGTTTACTATGTAATTCTGTTTGCTGTTGGTCGAACAGTAGGGTTTAGGAGAAGCTTAACATCACCATGAGTCTAAAATACTATAATTGTAAAAATTGATAAATGATCCCAAATCCCTGTCTTAACAACAAAGTTATGTATTGAATACCACAGAGAGAGAAAAGAAAGGATTAATTGTGTTTTGGGAATGAATTGCCAGATGAGAGTGAAAGGAATAAAGTTTACATTTTTGTGCAGCAAAAATTATCCACATATTTATCCTACTAAAAGTATGCAGATGGCTTCCTCGTTCAGATATTCTGCTTATAAAATGACTTTTGTAAGTACACAGAACTAAAATGGCCATTCTGACGCCTACACGGCTCCAAACATATCTTTACAGTTTTAGAGTAGATTTGTAGCTCAGGCTGTGGATGTTGTGGTTGGCTGGCTCGTTGTTCTGCAGACGTTTCATTACCTTGCTGGGTAACATCATCAGTACAGCCCCCGATGAAGCGCTGTTGTGCTTTCCCGCCTGCCATTTAAACTCTGGCGTCTTTTGAGCTGGATTACCTCACTTCCGGTTTTCCTTCGCAATGGAGTGTATATGGGGTCTAGTTCTGTGTTTATTGATGGCTTTCTTAGTAAAGAACTAGGCCTCTAGGAATTCCTCTGCTTGTCTCTGCTTAGCCTGTCCCGGGATCCTGGTGTTGTCCCAATCAAATTGGTGTTTTCCTTATCCATGTGGATGGAGATGAGTGAGTATTGGTTGTGTCTTTCTGTTGCCAGTTGATGTTCGTGTACTGTTGTGGTTAATTTCCTTCCTCTTTGTCCAATGTATTGTTTGTCACAGTCTTTGCAGGGAATCTTGTATATGACATTGGTCCTGTCCATAGTGGGTTGTGGGTCTTTGGTTTGGGTGAGCATGTGGCATAGGATTGATGTGGGTTTGAGTGGTACTCTGATACCCAATGGTCGTAGGAGTCTTGTGGTCAGTTCAGATGTGTTCCTGATGTAAGGTAGCGTGATGTGTGTTTCGGGTTGTGTAGTATCGTCCTGATGTCATTCGTGTAGTAGGCATCTTCTGACCCAGTTTTTTGGGTATCCATCCTCTTTGAATACTTGGAAGAGGTACTCTTCTTCTTTGAGGAACTCTTGGGCTGAGTGAATTGAGTGGGATGACTTGCTGACAAGGTGCTTTAGTCTCCTTTGTAACTCCTTGGCTAATCTGAGAGGGTTGGATTATGAGGAGAGACTGAGTAGACTGGGATTATACTCATTGGAATTCAGAAGAATGAGGGGAGATCTTATAGAAACATATAAGATTATGAAGGGAATAGATAAAGTGGAGGCAGGGAGGTTGTTTCCACTAGCAGGTGAAACTAGGACTAGAGGGCATCGCCTCAAAATAAAGGGAAGCAGATGTAGGACTGAGGTCAGGAGGAACTTCTTCACCCAAAGAGTTGTGAATCTGTGGAATTCCCTGCCCAGTGAAGCGGTTGAAGCTACCTCGCTGAATGTTTTTAAGGCAAGGCTCGATAAATTTTTGAACAGTAAAGGAATTAAGGGTTATGGTGAATGGGCGGGTAAGTGGAGCTGAGTCTCAAAAAGATCAGCCATGATCTTATTAAATGGCGGGGCAGGCTCGAGGTGCCAGATGGCCTACTCCTGCTCCTAGTTCTTATGTTCTTAATCTATGTGATGGCTTGCCTGGCAGGGAGACTATGGGTCTGAGGGGTACTTCCAGTTTGTGTACCTTCGGGAAGCCGTAGAATCGTGGGGTGTTGGTTCCTTCAGGTTTCATTCTTAGGTAGTCTGTTTTGTTGATTTTGTCCAATCTGTTCGAGTCTCAGAGTACTTAAGAATGAAACCCAAGAGTTTCTCAATTCCATCAAGGACGTAAAAATAGACCATGGTATCATTTAATGTTACTGCCCTATTCCATTGATAGACATACCACTAGCAAGAGAAACACTGGCAACACTACCAAAATAAGAACAAGACCCTAGTGACACCATCTCCACAGACAACATGCTGAAGCTACCGGACCAACACTTCATCACCCACTTCACCTTTAATGGCCAAATATATGAACAGATCAATGGGACACCCATGGGATCACCTATCTCTGGACTAATAGCTGAAGCGATGATGCAGAGACTTGAAAGCATGGCCCATCCGCTAATCCAACTGAAACTATGGATATGCTACATGGACGACACCTTCGTCATTATTAAACGGAACAAACTAGAGGCGACACATGAACTAATAAACAACGCCCTCACCGGGATCGGATTCACCAGAGAAGAGGAAAAGAACAAACAGCTCCCATTCCTGGATGTCATGGTGGAATGCAGGACCAATGGGGAATTCCTAACAAAGGTACACAGTAAAGCCGCACACACTGACCAAGTACTGAATTTCAACAGCAACCACCCTAACACACACAAATGAAGTTGCGTGAGAACATTATTTAAACAGACAACAACACACTGCAGCAGCAGAGAACTACACCAAAAAGAAGAAGAGTACCTCTTCCAAGTATTCAAAGACAATGGATACCCGAAAAACTGGGTCAGAAGATGCCTACTACACGAACGACATCAGGAAGATACTACATGCCCCGACACACTCATCACGCTACCCTACATCAGGAACACATCGGAACTGACCACAAGATTCCTACGACCACTGGGCATCAGAGAAGCACAAAAACACACATCAACCCTATGCCACATGCTCACCTGAACCAAAGACCCAGTACCCACTATGGACAGGACCAACGTCATTTCCAAGATTCCCTGCAAAGACTGCGACACTACATTGGACAAACAGGAAGGAAATTAACCACAAGTGTACACGAACATCAACTGGCAACAAAAAGACACGACCAATACTCACTCTTCTCCATCCACATGGATAAGGAAAACCACCAATATGATTGGGACAACACCAGGATCCTGGGACAGGCTAAGCAGAGACAAGCACGGGAATTCCTAGAGGCCTGGTTCTCCACTAAGAAAGCCATCAATAAACACACAGAGCTAGACCCCATATACACTCCATTGCAAAGAAAAACTGGAAGTGAGGTAATCCAGCTCAACGGACACCAGAGTTTAAATTACAGGCGGGAAAACACAACAGAGCTTCATTGGAGCATGCACTGATGATGTTACCCAACAGGGTAATGAAATGTCTGTGGAACAACGAACCAGCTCGGCGAGCCAACTGACCACAATATCTTTACAGTTTTTCCACCTACAAACTAACAGGTTAGATTATATAATGGTCCTCAGGGATGTCAGAAGTTATTTGATATCAGTGATATTATTAAGGGAATCGCTGTGCAACCTCTCTGTCCCCAAGTGCAATCTTTCTGTGATGATTATTACCTCCTTATGTTTTACCCCAGTCCAGCTGGAGTAGTCTGAAGAGAGAATTTCATGCTCTTAATGCATCCCAACTTCTTCACATATTAACACACTACCAGCTAGCACCTGGAATGGGCCCCATTGCAGCTTGGCAGCCAAGTGCTGAAGAGAGAGAGACATTGTACAGAACAGGTAAGGCTGGTGTTCCCAGTGAGAAGGGACAGAAGCTTCACTGCAAATTTGAAACATAACTTTGGTAAAAGCATTGTTTAAAATGTAAGATTTCGCATCTTCTATTTTGCAATAGTTCAAAATTATGTATTGCTTCCAATTGAAGGAATGAGTGCCTGTAAATAAGTTGTTAAAAATTATAAAATATATTTATGTTAATGTTTATTGAAAACTTAATATTTGAAACAGTCCAATTGATTAAAAACACAATACTTATGAGAAAGAAATTATGCAGTCTTGTCATTTAAGTCATCCTAATGTGGAATAATTTTACAAAAATTGTTTTGTAATACCCCTCAGCATTTATTAGTTACTGGAGTTAACCTTTAAAATCACTTCAAACTGTTTCTTTTAGTCTTGATTTACGGCTTGTCTATCATTTGGTAGAGTATTGAATACATTATGAAAGAGACCAGTATTTCAATTAGACCTTCACTCACTTTCCATCAGCTTGGCATGGTCACATTGGATTTACTGGACTCTGTTTAGTTGCTTCAACACCCTCGGAAGGAAGTCAATAAGAAATGGATCAAATGTTGTGAAAGTGCATATCGCCCACAAACTGCAGAGGGGCAAAGCAAAGCAGAGTTTAATTTTATCCCTTCAATGTTCCCATATTTTTATATAAATTCCCATTTTTTTTCTGTTCCACAGAGGACATTTTGTTAAGTTTTGATAAATATCCTCCAATAGTGCTGCCCACCAGTAACTTTAAGGTGGATCTGGAAGCTGAGGCCATAGATGACAACATGTACAGACATCTACTGTATATACGTCACTTCATTTGGAGCCTACGTACCAAATCCCAACCAACAAATGGATGTTCTGTAACTGAGGAATCACAGGTAAAAGAACTTGCTATATAGCTTTCAGTCCGAAGAGCATTACACACTGCAATTAAAAGTAGTCCAGAACAACAATTTTACCCTTGAAATTCCATAAATCCTTCAAATGCGTTATCCCAGATAATGTGGGCCATTACAATGTTGGCATTAGTTTCTGTTTCATTCTGACACTTGCAATGTAAGTCTAGAAGGTGTTTAAATTACTTCAGTGTTGGACTGAGATGTCCTAAAATCTTTTCATCATTTTAGTTTGGAATAGCATGGAGGGTAAATTCCATGGTATCAAACTGAGTGCCTCTGGGTGCGTTCAGCAATGTGTAAACCTATATGCATTTAAAACAGTTAAAACAAAACTAATCCACATTCCAGCATCTCCACTGTCTAAACATTTTAAATTTATCTGTTGAGAGAGGTGCTCTGGGTATGGCTATGGACACCTGCATAGAGCATTTTTTCTGTGCGAACCACTATTAACAGGGACCTGTGCTTGAAACTGAACTCCAGCAATGAGTCAAATATATCCTGTTGTAAAACCATGCTAATAGTATTACAGAACTCATTAGTCTTATGTGGAATTAATGGCTACATACAGTGACCGAGTAGCAGAAATAGACCCTTCAGTCCGACTTGTCCATGCCAACCAGATATCCTAACTTAATCTAGTCCCATTTGCCAGCATTTGGTCCATATCCCTCGAAACCCTTCCAATTAGTGTACCCATCCAGATGCCTTTTAAATGTTGTAATTGTCCCAGCCTCCATCATTTCTTGTGGCAGCTCATTCCATACACACACCACCCTCTGTGTGGAAAAAGTTGCCCCTTAAGTCCCTTTTAAGTCTGTCCCCTCTCACCTTAAACATATGCCCTCTAGTTTTGGATTCCACCACTCCGGGGGGAAAAAACCTTGGCTATTCACCCTATCTGTGACCCTCATGATTTTATAAACCTGTATAACCCCTCAGCCTCCGACGGTCCAGGGAAAATAGTCCCAGCCTATTCAGCCTCTTCCTATAGCTCAAACTTCCAACCCTGGCAACATCCTTGTGAATCTTTTCTGAACCCTTTCAAGTTTCACAACATCTTTCCTATAGTAGGCAGACCAAAATTGCATGCAGTATTCCAAAAGTGATCTAACCAACGTCCTGTACAGCTGCAACATGACTTCCAACTCCTGTACTCAATGCACTGACCAATAAAGGCAAGCATACTAAAGACCTTCTTCACTATCCTGTTGACCTGGGTCTCCACTTTCAAGGAACTATGAAGCTGCATTCCAAAGTCTCATTGTTCAGCAAAACTCCCCCGGACCTTACCATTAAGTCTATAAGTCCTGCCTTGATTTGCCTTTCTAAAATGCAGCACCTCATGTTTATCTACATTAAACTCCATCTGTCACTCTTTTTGGCCCATTGGCTCATCTGATCAAGATCCCGTTGTACTCTGACGTAACCTTCTTTGCTGTCCACTACACGTCCAATTTTGGTGTCATCTGCAAACTTACTAACCATACCTCCTATGTTCATAGCCAAATCATTTATATAAATGACAAAAAGCAGTGGACTCAGCACTGATCCTTGTAGCACACTACTGGTCACAGGTCTCCAGTGTCAGAAGCAACCCTCTAGCACCACCTCTGTCTTCTACCTTCGAGCCAGTTCTGTATCCAAATAGCTAGTTCTCCCTGTGTTCCATGTGATCTAACCTTGCTAACTAGTCTACCACGAGGAACCTTGTCGAACGCCTTACTGAAGTCCATATAGATCATGTCCACTGCTGTGCCTTCACCTATCCTCTTTATTACTTTTTCAAAAAACCTGATCAAGTTAACTGGTTTAATAGTGTTCTTCCAGCTCTTACCTCTTCTCTAATTAAGTATTCAAGTTTGTGTGTCATACGGTTTAATTGTGCCACAAGCAGAAACAGATTTTATTTCTTACACGAACAACTGGAACTCAGACAATCTGATATAATGGCAAGGAAAATACTATTAGGAGATATTGCCACTTATTCCTCATATCAGTTCGGTCAAACAAGATTGTAGTTTTGCAGGAGCACTATTTTGAAAGAAGAATGACATGAAGATAATTCTTTATCTTCAGACTTTACTCAGAAAGACCTTGGACAGCATATCAAAATTCAGGTAACTAACTTCAGTATGGATATGGAAATGAGGTCATATTTGAAATTGAATGAGCAAATTAGACAACATCTCTTATCATTTTAGTACTTAGTTTGCTAAAACTTTCACATGCACCCTGTCAATACTCAATAGGAAAGATGGGCTCAGATGGTCATCTAAGTAGATATTGAGTATTTCAGCTTTTACACTTTTGGATTTATTTTTCAAAAGATCTCTGATTTTTGTTTAAATTGAAAATTCCCAGGGAATTTTAAAAAAAAAGAGAAACCATTCAGCCACTGGGGCCCAGTAATGAATGGACTCCCATTGGGCTCCAAGCTTGGGTCTTTACTGTTGTGAGGATGGCATCAATAGTGTGTGCAATTCAAGTGATAAACAGAAGATTAGTTCATGAATGAATTCAGAAACAGCAAATATGATTTAATACTGAGGAAGTACAATGTTAATGTACATTGGACAAGGTAACCTGAAGCTTATCTAATCCATTAATTTTTGCACATTAAAAATAACACTAGGACAAGAATGGATACATTCATGATCAGCTACATTGCTAGGTCGTTATAATTCTAGATTGTTTCGCTATTGGTTTTCACTGGTTACTGAAGTCAGTTGGTCCCCAATCCATTTTTGGACTTTCAGGATGTGGAGTTAAGCATTTTAAAAGAAAATAAATCAGGAATCATATGATAGTCTTGAAAGCCCCTCCACGTCTACAATTAGAAGTTTAAAGGGATTAAATGTAGTGGATTTGGATAGTGCTTTAGATGGAACATGATAGGTCAGAAGGGCATACATATATGAACAAGATACCATGAATTGCTTTAATTTTTCAGAGATGGTTAAACAGCTTGAAATGTTCATGTAAGTTGCATATTGGTACATTACAATCCTTTAAGGGATTTGGTAAGTCTTGAGTGTGGAGGGCATTAAGGAAGATCTGATGTGTGGTTTGAATAATTTCAACTGTCGATGAATCATGGTGCCCCAGAGGATGACCAGTTGCCTTATGGAACTGGAAGAATTCGACAAGTTCCTCCTGAAATTAGCCAGCTTCTTTCCTCTCCTCATTTCTAATTGTTGGAGGTAAGTACACACTTGAGCAAGTGGGTGCAAAAATTAAGGAAATTATCTTTCCCAATACAGCTGGGAATAATAATTGTCTGGAAACACTCAGAATTGCATAAGATTATTATAAAATCAATTAAACATCGGTTTCTGTTTTAGGAAATAAATACCTGTAATAGTTTTCAAGAGTTAAGAGGTTAAGAAAGGGTTAAAGGTGTCTGATTACTACAGCATAAAGCACTTCTGCCAAAAGAAAATGATATATCTTCTGAGATGAAAACCAAGCTGCTTTATCTCCTTAGTGAGGTTTGGCTCAGCATATCCTTACAGTTTATTCTAAATCATCTTCATCAGAATCTCTGTAAACATATTCTTGGATTCTTCTTTCTGTCTGGGATCTAAATATTTGTTTTGTTTTTCTAAAACCAGTTTACATTCATGTTTAAAGCATTGTTTTGAATTCACTGCACAGTGTTCATGCTTGCAGTTAACTGCTGTTCAGAGTAAGCTCAAATTATTGTAAGGCACTCTTTTGAAGGGGGACTTAACTGAAATCCTTGCTTCTTGAGATACACTGCACACTAAAAATTGTTTTGCATCAAAAAGAAGGTGGCAGTTTAACTGCATTTTTTGGCTCCCATCTGTTTTTGAATTGCCTCAGTTCGTAGTTAGCGTAGTTATTACATTAAACAGGACAGGAACTGCAACATGGAAACAATCCCTGTTCTATTGAATCCCTTTCCTTCAACCACTAATGTCTCTTAAATGTTGACATGCAACATACAAATTTGGAGCCGAAATAGGCCAATTGGCTCATCAGTCTGCGCTATCATTCAGTTAGATCGTGGTTGATCCAGATGGGTGTTTTTTTTTTTTTTCAACAATGGATTCATGCTCATCATTAGACTTCTAATTCCAAATTTTTATTGTATCCAAATTCTGCCATTTGCCATGGCGAGGTTCGAACCCAGGTCCCGACAACATTACCTAGATCTCTGAATTAATATCACTAGGCCATTGCCTCCCAAAGTCATCCAAGTCGTTTATATAAATTGTGATAAGTTGAGATCTCTGCACTGATTCCTATAGTACACCACTCATTACATCTTGCCAACGAGAGAATGAAAAACTTGTGCTTACAGTGTTCCCCATTAGTTGGCCTATCTTCTGTCTATGCCAATATGTTACCTCTACAGCATAAGTGTTTATTATCCTCAATAATCTTTGTGGTACTTTACTAAATGCTTCTGAAGAAATACAGTACACCCACCAGTTCCCCTTTGTCCACAGCATATAATACTTCTTCAAAGAACTCCAAAAAAATTGGTTGAACATTATTTTCTAAGCACACAACCATTTTGAACTGCCCTGCCATAACATTTTTGATAATAGCTTCCAAATTCTTTCAATGAATCCAACTGCCTCATTAATTATGGTAAATTGTGCAATCACATTTAATGTGATGTTTCTTGGGTTGAATAGAGATGAATTCATGACTTGGAAAAACTGAACCAGTCGTGCAATGAGCAATTCTTGTGATAACATTTTTGAATTCAATTGGTGTATCAAGGAATGATGAAACAAGAGGAAACTAAATTATTGTGTAGATAGTATGGATAACATTGTCTTTTGCAGTGGAGAGCTGACTTTCACACTTCACTTGTCCCTAGTTAATTGCCTGGTCTGACTTATTTGAGGATTGACTGAATATACCAAAGTTCTTCATTCATCAATCCTTTGTTTTGGGGCCAGGCTGTCAGCAAGGTCTGCATTCTATTGCTCCCATAAGATTTTCTATGAACATGCCGAGAAGTTTTGTAGCTATTGTCTATTTCTTTAAATTTGTATTTTTTACAGACTGAGTTTCTTGTCTCTCATCAGTTGTCTTCACACAATCCAGCCACACCTTACAGTCCCAAGATTCTGGATCAGCAATCCGGGCGAAGTAATTACCTGAATAATAATTATGACACCGGGACATGCAATAGAAACTCAAGCACCTTCTCGGTCAGTGGATCAAGCAGAGATTTTAACCCCTGCCACGAACTTAAAGAAAAACTGCAGAAGCTACAGCTGCAAAATACTCTGGGAAGGAACAGGCTTCCAGGACACAGCATACAGCCATTAGATCCCTCTAGCCTTTTAACTCCTCCAAACACACCTTTGAACTCAGACCTTCTTCTCAGTGACTCTGTACAAACCAATGGAGCTGGTAGAGTTTCATCAAGCATCAGGAGAAATGGTGTCTACAAAAGTGGAGCCAGTGATGGGGAAGGTAACTATCAGGACTGTGGTTTTAGGGATTTCTTTATTCCAACTTATGGCCAAAATGAAACAAACACAAAGGATGCTGGAACAATAACAGAAGTTGCTGGAAAAGCTCAGCAGGTCTGGCAGTATCTGTGGAGAGAGAAATGGAGTTAATGTTTGGAATCTGGTACGAGTCTTCTTCACAACCAGGTTTTTCTCCATATTTGTTGATCTGTAGTTTTATGAAGGTTATATCCTTAGAAGTGCAACATTGCTGAATAATTTCACCTTTATAGATAACAAACTATTATTTCACTGTGCATTTATATTAATCAAGCTTGTGAAAACTGACAGCCTGAAGTAAGTTTTTTGAGGTTATGATTTTTAAAAAAAATTGAGGGCAGAACAGTAGATGTTGTCTGCATGGACCTTAGTACGGCCTTTAAAAAGGTTCCGCATGGTAGACTGATTTGTAAAGTTAAATCACATGGCATTCAGGGAGAGCTTGTCAGTTGGAGGCAAAATTGACTTGACTGTAGGAGACAGAGGATGGAGGGTTGTTTTTGGATTGGAGGCCTGAGAATTTAGGAGGCGTGGTTAGTAAGTTTGTGGATGACACCAAAATTGGTGGTGTAGTCCACAGTAAAGATGATTAAGATTATCTAAGATTACAAAGAGATCTTGATCTATTGGGCTGAGGTGTCCCAGATGGAGTTTAATTTGGATAAATGTGAGATATTGCATTTTTGTTAAACATACAAGGATAGGACTTGCACAGTTAATGGTAGGGCCATGGGTAGTGTTGTCAAACAGAGTCCTAGGGGTCAGGTACATAATTCTTTGAAAGTTGTGTCACAGGGAGACGGGATGGTTCAAAAGGTGTTTAATACACTTGCCTTCATTGCTGAGATCATTGAGTATAGGATTTAGGACATCATGTTAAGATTGTACAGGACATTAGTAAGGTGACTTTTGGAGTACTGTGTACAGTTCTGGTTGCCCTGCTATAGGAAGGATATTATTTAAATTGGAGAGGGTTCAAAAAAATTTACCAGGATATTTCCAGGACTGGAGGGTTGGAGTTGTCGGGGGAGGCTGGCTAGGCTAGGACTTTCTTGACTGGAGCGTAGGAGGTTGAGGGAGTGACCTTAGAGATTTATAAAGTCACAAGGGGCATGGATAAGATGAATAGCAAGGATCTTTTCCCTAGGGTCAGAAATTCAAAATTAGGGGGTATATTTTTAAGGTGAGAGGAGAAAGATTTAAAAGGGACCTAAGGGGGACAGTTTTTTTCACACAGAGGGTGGTGTATAAAAGGGAGGAAGTGGTAGATGCAGGTACAGTTACATGAATAGGAAAGGCTTAGAGGGATATGGGCGAAATGCAGGCAAGTGGGACTAGTTGGACTGAAAGGTCTGTTTCTGTGCTATTATTTCTGTACTATTCTCTGATTAGTTGCAATTTTTTGACACAGACACTCCTGCTCTTTACTATCTTGTATTAAAAGATGCATTGTTTCTAATGCATAAAAATATTAACTAAAAACACCTTTTTAAAAAAAAATGTTTAGGGTTATATAAATTACTATTTACAGACAGTATTAATGAGGATAGTATCCTGCAACTTTGAAGACCATGGACAGATTTTGTCTGTTTAAAGATCTTTATTGGTCCTATTTACAAAGAGATCTGAGATCCTGGTTTGTGCAGTTATCCAAGCCAGTCATCTTCGTACTGAGGAAGCAATATTCATCTGTGTCCCTCTTCCCTTCCTGAACATCCAGCTGTGTTGTCGTTTAGGTCCAATATGGACTGCAGTTTGTTTGAAATTCTGAGTTTATACCTTGCCGTTATAGGTGAGATTTTAATCCTAAATGAATTAACATTTAGGGTAATAAACTGTTTCCAAGTCAAATGATGTCAAGTTGGATTATAAACATCGTATAATACCAGATGAATTCTTGGCACTTTTTTAAACAGGGAGAGCTTATGACTTACCAACACCAGCATCTTCCAGCCAGAGTTCAGGAGAAGATGATCCATGTTGTGTATTTGTGGTGGAGCTGGGGAGAGGGCCCATTGGTTTAGGAATGGGACTGATTGATGGACTGGTAAGTGCAATGAACTACATATTAATCGGTAAGAGCAATAACATAGTATTTATATTCACCAATAAATAATGTTGTAAAATGTATAGCATATAATTGCATCTAAAAAAAAATTGAAATATTTGTTCGATGAATTTTGGCTAAATTCTCTTTAATCTCAGTTGATTATTTAATCTGTGGAAGCAAGTGATAAACTTGGCACATGGGGCTAAGATGATTAGTCCGTCACTTAGTCAACCTCCCCTATTCGCACTACTGAGGAGTACTTCCTCTGGAAACTGTGTGTGGCCCCTGGTGCCCTGAACCTGTTCAGCAAGGACCAGTCTTGCTGCGGTAGGTCTAAACATGTAATTTCAACAGATGGGATTTGTCACAAATGGCTTCTTAATGACTTACCATGTTTTTCAGTCTGAAATTCAAATATTGTTTTCTGGTAGATGTTGCTCAGGAAGATTTGCTCTTTATGGGGCACTGTGAAAGAAGACAGGCAGTAGGTGTGTTGAACATATCATTTTGCAGTAAGATGAGATGCAGATGGGTAGTTTCAACCAACTTGGTGGGTTTGTGTCAGTCAGCAGATGTATGGGGAATGATGTTTGCAAGGAGAGGGAAGGTGTGTTGAATGGAAGGTTCTAGTTAGAATATTGCATATGCTGGAATTCCTATCAGGCTCTGCAGCTGAGCACAGCGCACCTGGTTGGGAAAGGTCAAATGCTGTGATCGAATGTATTGTAACAGCAGAGCCCCACGAAAATTCAACAAGTTTGGTTAAGAGCTTATTTCTGGTTTTGACCTTTGCTGCTGTTGTCTTCAGATGTTTCTAAAAGAACAAAGTCCATTCTAAACTATGTTGGGTCGCAATCATGCTTTAGTCTTTGACCATCCATGTAGACACCTGGTTCTTTCTGGCACTGGCATTGTGAAGTTGAAATATGTTAAAAATGATTTGAGAGATTAATTGTGAGGCACAAAATGCTGCAATAGTCTGCTAACTTTGTAGTGTCTTTGTGAAGGATCTGGTCCAGGGTGCAGAAGGATTGACCTTGGGTGGCACAAAAGATGTCATTAGATGAATTTGGAGGACACGATTGCTAGCATATGTTGAATAGGATTGGGGCTGCAGTGAGCCCTGTGGCACTGCTTTGGCCAGTCTTCTCCCTTGCCCAAGGTGACTTCGAAGTGGTCTGTTTTGCAAAGGAGTACGTCAGTAACTGGCCTGACTCAGATTGGACAGTGTACCACTCTGCATCATAGGCCGCTGTGAGATCAAGTAGTACTCTACTTGTCTTCAGGATCTTTTGGAAGTCATTTTCAATGTAGGCTGTGAGAGCTAGAACTTGATCACATGTGCTGTGCCCTTACAGAAACGAGCTTCATTGATATTAAAGATGGTCTCTATTCCCAGAGGTGCATGTTACAGGATAAGCCATTTAAAGATCTTCATACATATGGAAAGTAATTAAATTAGTCCAAGCTGGCCACAAATGTGCAGTCTTCAGGTTTTGGAATGATTTCTACCATCAGCCAAAATTTAGTGGATGGGTTTGAGCTAATAATTCTTCTGTAGAACTGAGTCAGCTAGGCATGAGCACAAGGACAAGTTGTTTTAGGAATTCTAGTGCAATTTTGTCATATCCTGTGCTTTGCCACATTTCAGGCCCAATAACATTTTCTCCAGTTTTACTTTTTTGAAGGGATTGGGAGTACCACAATCTACGTGTTGTTACCATTGTATTTTTCTAGTTGGTTATAGATGTCATATTTCGTTTTCTTTTCCAATGGTGTCCTTGCCATATATAGATGATTGGCAACTTGGTTTAGTACAGGTGATTTTTGGACTGCAACACGTGAAATTGAGCTCTGCTGTCATTTCTTCCCAATGTGCAGTAGTGAGAGACTTGATCAAATGCTATTTTAGGAGCACCTGACAGTTCATATTCCCTTGGCAGTGCTGCACTCACCATGTCAGGGTATGAGCTGTAAATGGGGCTGGTAGACACAAGGAATAGCTATGAAAAGCACCACAAGTGCTTATATAATTTTTTCCACATGAATATTATGAATGGGTATAGTTGCAGTGATAGGGTGCAAGATCTCACTGTAGTTTGGCTAATCTACTCTACAACTGAGTTGGTGAAAAACTCAATTTTCCAAATTATTTGTTTCACCATTAGCAAAACATGACCCAGCGTTCTTCTACATGATTCCTTGATCGATTTAAAGAGTTAGGTAACAGAACAGTTGAGATTCTTGTTTCATGGATTCACTAACTTCTGTGCAACAAGAACAGGTCTTTTGTACCCTTCCTCCCATCTCTTTTGCAGCATACAACCTTAAATGCCCCTGGGATCTATATCAGAACTTTGCTGCCTGACAGCCCTGCAGCCCGTGATGGGAGACTCAGAATAGGTGACAGAATCCTGGCAGTAAATGGAACCAGCTTAATTGGAGCAGATTATGACAGGTAATCAGTTTTAATTTAGTTCTCACGTAATGAAATATAAACACTTCCCTCCACCCCTTTTCTACCCTATTACTGATTTCCCATTCAACAATTAGTCTTACTCCCTAACTCAGAAACTTTGTCAACAAAAAGCAAGAGCAGATTTATTTTGATTGCTGGCCCCTCTTGTGAATCCACTTTTTTTCTTTAAAAGTCACACATTCGCAAAATGAAAAGCTCAGGAAACTATCAGTAACACAACCCCTCCTTTACATTCTCCATCAATTAGTTGCTATGCAAAGCTTTAATACAGAAGGCCCTTAAGAAATTTTGATTATAACTTAAACTATTATTGATAATTTTGAACAGTTTGGAAATGTTTTTCTTAATTTTTTTTCCCCAGACAGTGCAGTAGTTGGTGTGTACATGATGCACCAAGCAGTTGCTAAAGTCTTAAGTTCTAATAAGTCATCAGCCCTGCACTAACCAGCAAGTTGTATACTGGACTCGCATGGTGTATTTTAGATTGGACTTACATTCCTAATATTAGGCATAGTCTTAAAGTGAGCACATGTGGAACTTTCCTGACTGCGATGTCCTAATTTCTTGCTTGTGATTACAGTGCAGTTAACCTGATCCGGTCAGCAGGCGAGAGACCAAGATTCCTTGTTGCCAAGTCAGATTTCCTCATTGCTGAGAAGATCAGTGCATCATCTTGTTAGTCTTCACTCACTGAACCAGGGAACAAACAGTGATCAGTAAACCTTAGCTTATTTATCCTCTTCATTCCTTCATAGCTAATGAGCAAGTCCTCACAGATCACTGTACCTTAGTATCTGTCATAACTGTTCATATCCATCTTAGAGTTAAACAACTTTGCTGCCATTTGCTAAACACATGATTTAAGAGTTGTTCCACATTCACCTTCTAAATGCTGAACCAAATATAGTGAAATTGTTTGTACAAAGACTTCTCTCACAGCCAGTACTTACTCGCAACTGAATTCAGAACTTCAGTTCAAAGATAACATTCATGAATGACTCAAAATCAGTTCACATCCTTCAAGTATTATATTCATGGCAAAAATCGTTTGTCTTTAGTGAACTTTTTCAGTATCTAAGCGGAGTTATAAATATACTGGCATTATCCATCAAGCACCATCATACAACAGAATTGAGCAACCCGAAATCTAAACAAAATGAATTAAACCAGTGAATATTCCCATACCTTAAGGCTACTGTTCATAAATTGAGGCAAAGCATGGACACCTCATTGCAACAAATGCTGTCACATGTATGCAGTTAAATGAGAGGATGACAATGTGTACAAAGGCTACACAGCTCACCAAAGGAGACAGCAGTCACAATGGGAAATGAAGATAAAATGAACTTTGACAATATCTGATAGTGTTAAATTATAAAATTAAGGACTACATTAGTATTAGCTTGTTTTAGTGGTAGCACAGATGGAGGTTGTGGCTTTAAACCCCTGTACAAGACTTGAATGTATAATATAGGCTAATAGTTTTGTGCATTAAATATAATTTTGGTGCATATCTAGTTTGTACAGTTTAGCTTGAAAAGCTACTGCAGTCTGTCTGATCTGATCCAGAGGGTTCACTTGGAAACTGAAGGGTAGAATTTGGATTTGATAGTGAATCAACAGCCTGTTTTACATCCTTTCCAATTTCACAGTAGAAACAAAGGAGAGGGGATTAAATAGGCTAACTATCACATTTAAAATCCACCCTAAGAATTTTAAGCAGTGCGATTTTAACCTCTTCAATTTTCAAAATTGGCAGCTACAATAATTCCTTCTTACATTTTTAGACAGTAACTTCAGGGCAGTTATCACAACTAAACCCAGAATTAACTGATGTAGAGATCAGCTCTAGGCTTGGAAGTAGGTATCTCCAGGATTTCTAATGTAGGTAAGTGATGGGAGCAATGTCAGATCTGGGCTGGTCAATGGTTGTACAGTAATGAAATCTTCAATTACTGAGGAAATTGATATCAAAGATGTAAAGGTATCACTGTATTCAGAACCTCTGTGCACCATCACTATCCATGTGCCATTAAATAGGCACAAACTGGTTTCATGTTTCATGGTAAATTTCTATGTATCACAAACCAAAGTGTGTTGCTGATGAGATACAAGCTGCTCTCAGAACTTCAATAAAGCTTCAGTTAATCAGGGCCAAAAAGAAAAAAAGTGTTCTGATGATGTTATTAAGTGTACATTAGCTGATCCATTAATTAGGAATTGCTGTAAAATAACAAATTGTGGTCCCAGCAGCATTCTGTAGAAATATTCAATACCTGTTAGTGTTAAGCCAACCCATGCCTTCTGATAGAAAGGCAAAGATAATCAGTAAATGTTAATTAATCTAACAGCTATACAGCAGGCAGCTGTCTAGTATTGGCAACTTGCACATCTATGTCTTTCTTGAATGTACACTGAGGATGTCCAATACATTCTACATAAATATATATAGATTGCACTCTCAAATTTTAAGGTGTTAATTTGAAGATCCATTTCATGCTGCCTTCATGTTTAAATCCATTATGACTTATGACTAACTCTAATCAACCTTGTTGACCAGTGATGGGTTGGGGTCTCAGGAATCTTCTATAAAGGCAATACTATATAAAGTCGTGTTAAACATGTTTTGAAAACAGATCCTGTAAGTTACACAATTAATGAAATGACTTGGTAATTCTTTGTCTGTCACTGAAGATGTTCAGCTGAGTGTGACTCAGTTGATTCAACACAATGTCAGGAAATTGTATTACGTCTCTGGGTTGACATTTCAGTACAACTGAGGAAATGCTGTATTGCTACAAGTGCAATCTTCTCTCAGCTTATCTTTACTGCTGCCCAAAGCAATTTCCAAAATTTTTCAACAACATTGAAAACTGATTCAATTGTTATTTATTTCACTGCCAGCTGTGGTACCTTGCCACAAAGACTTGTATGAGTAATTATACTGTAATTTAATTCTAAGGGAAGTTTGAATGAAGTGATGAAATGCTACGTAAACATGAAAGTTTCCTCTGTGTTTGTTCTCCGATGCATCTGTAATCTGCAAACTAACTGCTTCTTAAAAGATTATTGGCATTTTGGGCATGAATTGTTGGTGTAACTACAGTATGTCCAAGGAAACTGGTTGCTATGAATAAAACAGCACCAGTGATCTTCACAGTCATTGGGACAGCTGTCCTCAACCTGGATTAAAGTTCTAAGATTCATAAGTGGTATGACAACTCCAGCAGTACCTTAATGAAGTAAAGTGTTCCTCTAATCCAATTGTAGAAACAGTGCTACGGGGAGACCCAAGTGGTTAGGCCTTTTAAGAACATCCCTCCTTGTGCTCCTGTCTGCCACATCCTTTGCTGCGTTTGAGATCAAAGCAGCATTTGACAGTGTATGGCACCATAGTGCCCTAGCAAAATTGATGTAAGTGGGGATCAGGGGACATTTTGCCATTGGTTGGAGTCAAACCTATCACAGGGGAAGATACAGGCCAATCATTCCAGGCCCAGGAACATTGCTGCAGATGTCCTCAGGGTAGTGTCCTAAGCCTAATGCCTTTTCAATGACCTTCTGGCCATCATAAGATCAGAAGTGAGAACATTTGCTGATGTTTGAACACTTCTGTACCATCCACAACTCAAATAGAGACTCTATCTGTGTCTGCATGCAGCTGCGAGTGCTTTTTCATTGTTACTGGATCCATAACAGCAGTGTAGATGTGCTTGCATATAGGCACTAACATTCAAGGATAATTAAGAATGCTGTGCTCACTTCACATGAGCAGAACACCAGATACGCTACTGAATGTACCTGCAATCAATATCCTCAGCTGGCCTATAGTCTGCATGAGTCATGATAGTGATAAATCCTTATAGGAGGCTTGAGTATACACTATCATTAACTGGACCACTTCTTGTAGGGAAGCTGAAGACACTCCACAGGAGAGTACAAAAAGTTAGAAAATTGCATATTACAGTTGTGCACATACTTATTTCATTGAGTGGATAATTGTTTAACAAGTGTGTAATGTGGCACACAGCTGTCTGATTTCATATTGTCTCTAGTTACCCCACACTCGTTTATGTTTTGTGCTTTAGTGTGAGTATTATGGCATTTGTTGAGTGTAACTGAATGGGATAGCATAATGATAAGGGGGAGTGGTGGTCAGACAGGTGGGAATGAGAAAATGTACAGACACAGTGTATGCACGGAAAAGTGGTATAACGAGTGATGTGCTAGAGTTGGAATGAGAAGAGCAAGGAATAATACGTTAGCATGTCAGAGTTTACCATTAATCTGATCTGAAGTGTCAGTGACTAAATCCCAGCTTGTATCACATAGCTCAGCATCTATCCCCTCCTCCCACCTCAAGCCGCACCTCCATCTCCTACCGACCAACCTCAGCTCGCCCCCTTGACCTGTCCGTCCTCCCTGGACTGACCTATCCCCTTCCTAACTCCCCACCTACACTCATCTTTACTGGCTGCATCCCCGCCTCTTCGACCTGTTTGTTTCCTCTCCACCTATCCTCTCCTCTATCCCTCTTCTATCCGCCTCCCCCTCTCTCCTTATTTACTTCAGAACCCCCTTCCCCTCCCCCTTTTCTGATGAAGGGTCTAGGCCCGAAACGTCAGCCTCTCTGCTCCTATGATGCTGCTTGGCCTGCTGTGTTCATCCAGCCCTGCACCTTGTTGTCTCACACCTCTACTAATGATCACTTGTCAGCTGTCAAACCATAAATTCTCCAGGAGACTATCCAGGAGATCATGAATTAGTTGCCACTGACCTTGACTCTACTCTCCTTCCCAAATTTCCTACTCCAAACTGTATATCTGGAGTGTCCCTTGAAATTGCAATATGCAGGTTATCATCTCAGTTTCATTAACATTGGACAGCATCTTGCTGTCAAATCACTGGCCAATGAAAAGTGTTAGAAAGCTATAAAGAACAATTCATTGCAGAATTTATGGAATACCTGACACTTAAGCATAATCATTATGCGGTTAAATACTCTATTCATTCCAGAGGCTCTGTTTGCAGATTAGACACCAACTCAGACATAATATGGGCTACAATGTCTTCCATACAGAGTCCTCAGTGTGAGGTTATCAGATCACTAATTCTTAGACTTCCTATACAATAAAATTACTTTTGTTGAGTTTTCAGTGCTTTGTTCTTTTGATGTGTGCATAGTGAAATATTTTGTGTTGCATATGTTTCTAACCAACAAACTGCGAACTGTTTCCATGATACCAAGTCTTCAAGCTACCAGCTGCAGTGATAGTTTTGTTTTGCTTCATGGGTTTTTAAAATAAGATCTACTTTGATCCAGAAAGCAGTATTTTCACATTATGGTAATTGACTGTCAAACACAGACTTTAGAAACCTCTTGAAGTTAAACAAACTAAATGGACATTATTCTGAAAGTATTACATCCACAAACTACATGGTAAGAAATGATTGATGTTGAATGTAGACATAAATGGAATTTTTAAACAAGATGGAGCATTAGCATCTCCTCCATTAGTATAAAGAAGTTTTAAAAACTACCAGTCCAACTTTAAACTTAACCTCATGAATTGCTGATGCATATTGCCTAAAATAGCCTTATTTTACTTCAACAATTCAATATGGACAATCAGGTGACAAATTTAAAAATCAAAATTTATATTTTGAACATCAAGCTACATTCCAACTCTAAATGACATGGTCTGTAAGATTAGTTTCCTGAACAAAACCTTGTTATTGTGGGGCACAAACAGAAGGGACTGCTTACAAACTCAGTTTTTATGCAAACAAGCCACATTATTGATATGAGTTTTAAAGTCCAGTCCTTTTCTTTTATTAGAACATTACTTTTACCTCCATTGTGTATTTTGTTAGTAATGGCTCATATAGAACTTTTCAGAATGTATTTTGAATGTGTACTCATGGTATAACTTTTTATTTCTGAAGAATTCTATGCAAATAAACACTACTTTCATGGATTAACAATTTTTCTTCTTTGGAACTGTTATTTTACCCTGTAGGATTTATCATGTTCGTGGAAATTGAAAGTTTTCCATCATAGTCTTTCAATTATCCCCATTTAACCCGATCAATATGGCATGAATGATTTCTCTTTTCCCCCTCCTCACTCAGATTGCTATTTCTTGCATTACCCCAATTACTTACTAAACAAAGAATTGCAGATGCTGGAAATCCGAGGCAATACTGTTGGAGAAACTGAGCAGCTCTTGCAGCATCTATGGAGAGAAAGCAAAGTTGAACTGTTCTGAAGAAAGGACTTATTTCAGCAATACTCAAGTTGTATCGTACCAAACTATTTATGAATATTTCTTTATTCTATGAGCTGATATGGACAACTTCCATTTGTCAAATGTTAATGATCTAATAGACTCAAAATTGATCACCTATTGATCCGTTTGATTTTTGGCATAGCTTTTAGTAACTTCAGAAAATGGAAAAACATTTGTAAACATTTTTCTTAGAAAACAAAATCCTACACATCTTTAAGATACTACGCAGAGAATCCTGGTGCTGGGTCTCTCTGCAGCACTTTGCTGATGGTCCTCAGGGTGAGTGGCAGTGAAGCATTGGTATCCTTGTACCATCTTGGGTTGGCAATGTCCATAGAGGATCCCAGTATAACCTGAGCTACATTTGGAGCTTTTAACAGATTGTTGAGCTCAGTGGCACGGGTCAGGATTTCTTGAATATCATCCTCACTGTATGTGGAGGAAATCATAGCACTACGAACGAATGGCCTCATCTTGGACAGGAACATAGAGACCCTGAAGAGAAAAAAAATTGAAGAGCTTTGAGTAATTCCACTAATCATGCAAAAATTTACTTCCAAATAAATTAAGACTTCATTTCAGATTTTCCAGAAAACATTTTGCGTGTTTTTAAACTGGAGATATGGAATGTTACATATACACAGCTTTAAATAACTTAAGAAGCACACTACCCAAAACTGGAATCAAATTGCAATATCTGATCACTGGGCTATTCACAGGATTTCCATTTCCTGCAAGGCAAAGTTGCAAGTAAAATAATTACTCAATGAATTTCACCCACATTATGTACTCCAATTTCTGCAGGTATTTGTTGATATGAACACTCAGGAGCTTCAAAAGGTAAAATTTTCTATTTTCAAGATGCAAAAGACATGAAGTGAATATGTCTATATTCTACAATATAGAGGAAGACCCACAATGTCATTAGATCACCGCTAAGTTCATTTCCACAGCCAATACCTTGACTGGAGTAAATGTGCCTGGGTTAATATTGAAAAAAGGCTTAGCAGCTTCTGTCAATCATCTAACTAATGCATTCCTCTGCCAAGTCCAAACCCTCTTCTCAGTATAAATAGTGTTTTCCCTTTCCATTGTTTTTTTTCTTGTGGATTACCCTGATTGTGCAAGATGAAAGGCTTTGACAAAATAACATCTTTTTCTTAAGCATTATTTTATTGTTCTAGAGAGGAAAAATACAAACAACTACTTCCTTTTATTGAAAACAGAAATTACTGACGAAACTCAGCAGAGTTTATGTTTTGTGTGCGGTGACTCTTCATCAGATGATTCATTAGCTCTGAAGAGTCATCGCTGGACTTGAAATACTAACTCTGCTTTCTCTCCAAACTTGCTGCCAGACCTGCTGAGTTTTTACTGCAATTTCTGCTTTTGTTTCAGATTTCCAGCATTCACAGTTCTTTTATTACTTTCTTTTTATTTATTCATACTATTGATCTGCAGTGGTGAAACACCAAAGTATGTGTTAAGTCTATCCAAAAGCTGCACTAGGAATATACAGTCTATAAGGGTACAAGTTTAGTTTTCATGATTATTAGTTCCTGATCTTAACTGATGGGGAAAACTAAAATCAGAAGTAGCTGTTGGTTGACCTCTTTCTGATGGCCTATCTCTTAGCCTAGGCCTTCAAATAAAGAGGTGATTGCAGATGGAAAAATTATAGCTCTAAAATCGGCTTTCTACCTTCACCATTTCTTCACACTTAATTCCGTTCAAACCCATGTGCTGACCACTGTCTGGACTCAATCTACTGGTTAGAATCCTAGTCACAGCACAGAAGAGACCAATCTATCCTGCGCTAGATCAGAGAGCGATTTCTTATTGGTCTTAGCTCTACTCTTCCTCCACTTTAGATTCCCCCTTTGAGTACTTATCAGATTCTGTTCCTACTGCATCAGTATCCAGGACCCTTTCAGGCAGTGCACTCGAGATCATAACATCAAAAAGAAAATTGCCTCATATCTCCTATATTCTGCTAGTTGCTTTAAATGTCTGTTCCCTCCTCTTATGCTATTAAATCCATATAATTTTGAAAATGTTGTACTATACCGGTGCATCAATTCTCAGTAATTGTAAAAGGACCCCATCCCTCTTGATACATTATTGAAATAGAGTACCTTGGAATCAGGTCCTGGCTCCGAGATGCTAATTTTGCCAGTGTAGTCATGAGAACAGTGATAACCCGCGGCGAGTACTTGGGGACACAGGCAGAGGCTCGCAGCTGTGTGATCTCAAAAAGTAATGCTTCAAGAGTTTCAAAGAACTTGGTGATTTGTTCCACTGTGCAGCATCTGTCATACGAAAAGGACACGTACTCCCCAATTGCCCAAACCTAAAAAGTACAAAATCTCAGTTTACATCTTGGTATCATAGCAGCAGCTCTTTACTAATGACAGGCCTTTGATCCAAACATGCTGTTTGACCTGCTGGGTATTTCCAGCAGATGCTGGAGAATCTGAGATAACAAGGTGTTTACTGCGAACCGAGCGTATGTGGTATACTGTATCCGCTGTTGTGGCCTCCGCTACATCGGGGAAACCAAGCGGAGGCTTGGGGACCGCTTTGCAGAACACCTACACTCGGTTCGCACTAAACAACTGCACCTCCCAGTCGCGAACCATTTCAACCCCCCCTCCCATTCCTCAGACGACATGTCCATCCTAGGCCTCCTGCAGTGCCACAACGATGCCACCCGAAGGTTGCAGGAACAGCACCTCATATTCCGCTTGGGAACCCTGCAGCCCAATGGTATCAATGTGGAATTCACAAGCTTCAAAATCTCCCCTCCCCCTACCTCATCCCAAAACCAGCCCAGCTTGTCCCCGCCTCCTTAACTTGTCCTTCCTCCCACCTCAATCCCCACTCCCATCTCCTACCTACTAACCTCATCCCACCCCCTTGACTGACCTATCTCCTCCCTAACTCCCCACCTACACTCACCTTTACTGACTCCATCCCTGCCTCTTTGACCTGTCTATCTTCTATCCGCCTCCCCCTCTCTCCCTATTTAATTCAGAATCCCCTTCCCCTCCCCCATTTCTGGAGGAGGATCTAGGCCCAAAACATCAGCCTTCCTGCTCCTCGGCCTGCT